TCACGCAGAAAGTAATCCACTAGAGGGCACAGCAGCCTCTGCTTGAGCTGTCTACTGGGCACACACCCAACCACCCTTCTGCCTCCGTGACCCGGGTGAAGTGATTTAAATTCGCAGTTAGGATTCAAAGATTTAAAAGTCAACACGTCTCAGCTCTCCTGCCTTCCCTGTTCGGTGCCGAAAGCCAACGGCAGCCCCACACAGGTGCCCTGGCACTGCAGGTACGGGGGGGACAACTCCGCTCGCTGAAGTGTCAAACGACAGGAGCTGCTCGGGGGAGAGGGAGGGCTCGGGCTTTAGACTGCGCCGATAACAGGAGCCCTCTCTATAGATGCTCTTGCTGGAGTCAAATCTGTATTTACAGTTAGGTGTAGCTGCTTGCAAAGTGCTCTGATCACTGTGGAAAAGAATGTGAAACATATACCTACCCACAAAATCAGTAAGCAGGCCAATATAGAGAAATGGGATCGAGAAGAGTAAGCGAAGAGTTACAGAACATCTTGCAGTTGTCAGCTCGTTCCCCACCGGTGACTGTACCTCCAAAGCCTGGCACGTGATGCAGGGTGCCAGCAGCTTTCCCTTACCAAGGTTCCGGGTTACGCAAATGCTCCACAACAGATTTTTGGGGGTTTGGTGGTTATCAGTTTGCCAAGTAGCTGAAAACAGAAACAATTCAATGTGGAGCAACATAAAGCAGTCTACCTGTAGACCAGGCTAAAGGGATGGTGTCTGCCTTCATAAACACGCAGCAAAGAAGTTCTGACATCGGCTATACAGTGAATTAGCATTAATTAAGATGAGCAGCAATCCACAGGACTTGGAGAAACAGGGGTTAAAACCAGATAACCTGGTGTCAAACATTGGTTTCAATTGTTTTGGAACTCCAAGTAGGAACTTGAATTAGGACAATGCAAATCACCCTCACACAGATCCCTCTGCAGCGAGTTCCCGGCAGCAGAGGGGCCGTATGAGGAAGGGTCCAGCCCAAACGAAGTTTCAGGCGGGCAGGACAGCGGTCCGGACCTGATCCCCAGTGCTTGTACCAAGGCGTGGTGCCATCTAAACCGCCTTGCCAGTGATACCTTAGCAAGCCGCAGCTCTAGTAGCGTGGTTTCAGAGGTTATTCTGTACTTGATCAGCGGTTTAACCTGCTGCAACCAGTTCCCCTCCCGTACCCCAGGACAGGATCACCAGGCGTTAGTCCTGGGCTGAATCGTACCAGCAGGGATTGTTTGCCGCTGATCTCCGGGTGCAGGTTGAGCTCACGTCTGCTTGCTGCCGTGTGCCAGCCAAGGGCTGCTTTATTTGAACGGGCAACTGCAAACCTGGCATCGCTTCCACTTACGGGACATGGATTTTACATTTGGCAGATAAAAGTTGGTTTTACGGGAAAATAAATGACAAAATGAGCCGTATCAGAGGTCTGGACTGTGAGTGAAGGACCAACCTCACTGCCAGGAGCAAAACAGAGCTGGGGCTGGACATGCCTGGTGTGTAGCCCTGAAAGTCAGGCTGATGGGAAAGCTGTTTTCTCACCAGAGACACTCTCTTATCACTGAATGGACTACATAAACCTGAGTAAGCAAGCGTTAGGATTTTGAACATAAAGAACAAAAGAAGAGGTTGAAACAGTGGGAACAGGCCCAGCGGGTGGCAGAAAGCCCAGCGCTTCTGCCAGGAGACTGTTCCATAATCAAGTCTTGAAGCTCACTTGCTTAGAACAGCATGGGTGGCTCACCGCTCTCTTCACCAAGGAGCTGGATTTGACTAACAACCAGGTTCTTAAAAGGATTCAAATGAGCTCCTGCTGCAGGTTTGAAGCGACAGAGATCCGTGCTTTTAGCAGCGCAGTTCTCTGTATTGAAGAGGCCAAAGCAGCAGCAAGGGGTGGTTTGGGGATTAAAAACACATTGTAAGAATTATGTTCCCCATTCAACTGGTTGCACGCTTACCAGTTGCTCTGTAACGGAACACTGAGCTTTAATTCGGTATTGGCAATTAAGAGACAGAGCAGTCACAGGAGGCAAATACTCCCGACAGCCCCGAGAACTTGGTTTCGCAGAGGTGGACCGCCGCGTCCGAGCTGTAGCAAACACTGATCCATACGGTGGTAGATGCGACGCACGGCGCGGGAGCTAGGTGCACCAGGGCTCAACCTCCAGCCTGCGCAGGGTATTTTTAGCTTCTGGAAGAAATTTGCTTTGGCAAAGGTTCTAAAATATCTTTAGATCTAAGATATAGCCTTACTGGAATATTTTAATCCAATTCTAAGAGATTCCACAATTAATAAACAGGTTTGAGAGAAGAGCCAAGAGCTTTTTCAATACCTTTTTCTTTTGATCCCACTAAGTACTGCCAGCTCTCCTTAAGTATGCACCAGTTTGGGTGTGGAGTTAGTTTGTGTTCTTCCTGAAATGCACCCTCGGCCACCCCAGCATCCGCAGTTTTTTTCCAGCAGCAGGGCAGTGCTGGAATCAAAAACTTCCCGCAATCCAGGTGCGGGGTGAGCGTCAGATATGAAACGGATCGCTTCCTACCTGCGTGCATCGTGGAACTGGACAGCTTTCAAAGATCTTCTGGCTTAAACCAGCAAGGAGATGTTATCCCTTTGGTGCTTCTAGTGCACCAAACTGCAGCTTGCCTAGAAAGCAGCACATCCCTGCAGTGAAACCCGGGATTTCTCCGACACTGTTTAAGTGCTTAGTGTGCTCAGAGACTATGCAACAAACCATAAAAGCGGTTTAGGTTTTTTTTCCCCCCCCCAACAAATAAACTTAACCATACGTACCTTCCCAACTAAATCAGACCAAAAGCAGTCAAACCAGTCTATGTTTTAATGGAAAAGGCCGATGCATTAACTACAAAATATATTAAAATACATAAATAAGTTACTGTAAGAAAAATAACTGTTCCAAGGTTATACCTCTGTCTTGCATAAATAATCACATCTGCACTTAAACTCTGACGCTTTCTTCACGAAACTTGCTGTCCTTTGGCCTGCATAATAACAACATTTATTGCCTGACGGCCTAACTAAAACGCTACCTTTGCAATTACTTCACCCTACAGTGGAGCCGGGGACTGAATTAACCGCTTGTCATTCCTGGTCTGTGTGCTGCCCACTGTCTGGAAGCGCTGTGGAACTGTTGCTCCGCTGGTTGTTTTAAGAAGAGGCTGTTCCCACACGCATTATCCTGAACAGCATGTTAAAGTTGTTGCTTCTTATTGCGTCCCGACAAGCACTGATCACTTGTGTTTTAGGTTTGCCAACTGTAAAGAGAAAAAA